AAGAGACTTGGGAATGTTTACAATAGTTATTTACAATTATTTTTTAGTTGGATCTAAGGTTCATAGTAGACATGCTTGTTTTGGCTTTGTTAGTGTCTTTTGAAGCATTTTTTTTTTGGGAGGAAAAAGGTCTCCTTGATATCAAAATAGAACACCAATTTTTTTTAAATGATATGTTTAACTTGGCTGAGGCAATATAGAATTTATAAAATGGTTGGAGAATAATCCAAACATTTAAGGGTCTGTTTGTTGAATTTTGTAGGGTTAATACGATATGAGTTTGCAATGTGAAAACATTCGATGCAAGTGTTGAAAGTTTAAATAAACGCATCGGTGAGTTTGAAATGATAGTTGTTACTTATAGGTTGGGTGACCGGAGATGACCCAAGGCAAGTATTGATGGCCGGCATCGGGAGGTGGCTGGCTATGGTGGGTGGTGTGTCGCGAGTGTGGCCGAAAATGGTAGGTACATGGCCTGCAAAGGTGGTTGGCGCTTAAAAGACATAAGTTCTTGGATGAATTCTCTCAATTTTGGGAGATCAAAAGACTTACAAGGTTGTGAATTTGTAATATCCTGATAGGCCAAATAACATCATTTTCAGGTCATTTTTGGTGGTATTGATGCATATTTTTCAAACCATAGTGGGCACTAGTGCCCATTTCTTATTTTTAATTTATTTTTTTAACCTTTTTTCTTTATCTGTTTCTTTTATTAATCAAGGTTTTTTAAATTTCTTTTTCAAATTATTTTTATAATGTTCTTAAATTTAAAATTATTTTTTTTGAAAAAAAAATAATTAACATATACTGCATCTGTACTTCCCAAATTAACAACTTTTGTTTTTTTTGTTTTTCAAAATATAAAATAAATTTATTTGAGAACTTCAAAAAATGATGAGTAAAACAAGAAATAAAATAAAATAAAAAATAAAAATGAATATCCTTTTTTGGGACATCCCAATTTGATTTAAGGGGTTTTTAGGCATTCTGAAAATTCTTTTTGTATAAAAATCTTTTTCCATGTTTCAGTTTTTTCATTTTGTTTTTCAATATTTTTATTTTTTATTCTAGTTTTTCTCTTTAGACTTACTAAAAATTATTCTACTAGCAAACAAAAAGTAAAAACGTTTAATTTGAGATAGATGAAGTATATGTTACGGAGTAATTTTTTATTATGACTTTTATTTCGAACTTAGAATTTTGATTTTTTTAAAACATTACGAGTATAAAAAGATTGAAACGAAATTTTAAGAACTTTTCTAGTAAAAGTAAACAAATAGATAAAAAAAGAGTTAGAAAAAAGAAAAAAAACCAAATAATAAACGAAATATAAGAAATGAGCACGAGTGCTCCGATGGTTTAGAAAGTAGGCATCGATACCCCTCTTCACCGGAAATGCAACATTTTGAAATCACGGAGACTTTAAAAATAAATTTTGAAAATAGAAAAAAATAGAGGGGGTATTGATGCTAATTTTTCAAATCACAGGGAGTACTAAAGCTATTTGTTCTATCACGATATATTAAATATGAACTTGATTTTTAGACTTTACCAAACATCCATAAAAGATTGTGATATTGGGAGTTATGAGATGCGTAGTATGTTGCACGTACTAAACATATTTTAACTATTTTTTGAGACAAACAACGTACACATACACTAATCAATCAAAAGAGGCAATACAAAGTTAGGTGGAATAGCATCCCAAGTATTTGGCTAAAGCTCAGCTCTACGAGCCAAAGACGATAAAAGACTCAAACAAGTGTCCACAATCGAGCCCATATAAGACAAAGAGGAAAACCTCTACCTTGCTTGAGGATACGAACCAAAGTCAGACAATATGAAAAGAATAATGCTAGGGTGCCACCACATGGGTGCTACCATGGGTGCACCCATGCTTCACACAGACGATAATTGTCTGTGTCGCACAGACAATTATCGTTTGTGTTTGTCTGTGTGAAGCATGGGTGCACCCATGATAGCACCCATGTGGTGACACCCTAGCATGACCCATATGAAAAAATCTCCACTTTCCTAATACCCTTGTCTTTCAACCAAGATAACACCTCTTTGCACGCAACGAGTTCCGCCATCAACGAGTCACGAGCACTATTCCCTTTGCCATTTTCCGCTGCCACGAAAGTACCATCCTGCAAAAATAACACAAAACCGTAAGAAGAGCATGGATCCATCCTCATTAATAATAGTTCTTAACTATTTGTTTAGCTGCCTAACATAAATGGATATGGAGTTTAATTTGGACCAGAGAAAGTATTTTTAGAGTCTATTGTAACATCATTAACTTTATATCGTACAAAAAGATAATTTATTTTTTTAACGAGTATTTAAAAATGTATATTATTAATGAGGCTGTATTCAAATGTCACCTTTTATATATCTATAGAATAGAAGGGAGAAGCTATTTTCTTAAATATTACTCCCCCTATAGTGATGCATGATCAATGATAAAAGGAGATATTATTTTCTAAAATTTTACAAAAAGTTGGGTTTTGATTATTAAGTTAATTTAATCTAATAATACTTTTAAAATTGTAAAATCAAATATGAATACGACGAGACTTTCCACTCTGCTAGTGGGTGGTGAAATTCAACGTTGGGGCTTTTGTTTATTTTACTTTTTGTGCTTTGTTTAACACTTTGACTCAACTACCTAACTTCCATTTAATAAAATTAGTTAAAATATTCTTTGAAAGAAATTAGTTAATACAGTCTCTACATTGTATTGCTTGTAGACCTCACAAAAATTAATTGATCTTTGTACTAAAAAATGACTTAATTAATTAAGAAATTATATACGGATCGGAGTACTATTTCCTTAAAATTAAACCATTTCTTGTGCTCTAATGGTCTGACTTATTAAAATTAACTCTTTAATACTTATTCCTTAGCCTCTGTATCAATATATTTGTTTGCTTTGATTTTTTTAATTAAGTTAAACTGGACGAACTTTAATAAATAATTCATATTACATAGTAATACAATGAAATCTAATTTTAAAACCAAACTTTAATTACCATCGATTTAGGCCTCGTTTGGCATCAGCGTCAGAGATTAGCGTTAGCGTTTTGAAAACGCTATCCGACGGTAGCCTTTCGCGTTAGCGTTTTCAAAATTAGTCTGCACCGTTAAAATTTTATCCAAAACGCTAATGCTAATCAAAAACGCTGTTACCAAACAAAGCCTTATATTTCATTAATGCAGCAAGGAAATCAAATTTTAAAAATTTATAACAAGATAAATCTAATGAAATCAATACAATTATTTATTACTGAAGTCTAAAGTTCGTCGTCCAATTTAACTCAAACACATCAAACTGGAAAACAGAGGTAACATACTCCATATTATAGTAATTTGACCAAGAAAAATATAATCAAACAATCAAAACAAAATGAGATGTAAAGTAGTACTCACACCGTCCCAAAATGATCTCTCAGTCACTATTAACATGGCCAAACTTTAATAACTTTTTTTACCTATTTTCGTTAGTTATTTGACAAATGTATAACCAAGTTGTAAATCTTTTGATGTAGTTTTAAAATGTACTCCATCCGTTTCTCAAAAGAGTTCCTCTTTTGACTTTGGGGGAAAATAAGGAAGTGTTAAATTGTAGTTGACTTTCCAATTTTATCTTTGATGTAATGGGTAAAAGTAAGATGTGATAGTTTAGTTGTTAGTGAAAAAGTATGATGTGATAGGTAGGGTATGAAAAAGTAAGGGCAAAAGTGGTTTTTTACTCCCTCCGTTCCACAAAACACTTCCATTTTAATTTTTTGCACAGCCCATAAAATATTCCTATCCCACCTAAAATATCTAAAATACCCCTTAAACAACTTCTACCCGCAATAAACTACATAGTGGGGTATATTTTAGATATTTTAGGTGGGAGTAAAAGCGTTTAATGAGGCGCGCAAAAATTTAGGGCGGAAGGGTTTTAAGGAACGGAGGGAGTAATAGAAAAGGGAAGGGTTTTGAGAAAAACAAAAAAAATGAAAGAGGAAGGGTTTTAAGAAACGGAGGTAGTATAATTTTTATTTTTAAATTTTATACTTATAATCAAATAAATTAAATTAAAAATAATTTCAATCAAACCTCGTAAACTGAACTGGAAAAATGACAAAGGGAGTAGCTATTTTGGGCAGTTTTAAATTGGGGCATTTTATCCGTTGATTTTAATAGACGAGTAGGTCTTATGTGCACATATAGTCATATCGGATTGGACTTATGGAGTATGTACTTTTCTCATTAATTGGAAAACCCTATTAATCTATTACTCCGTAATTACTACTTGTTAGACATATATGGAAAGAAGTCTAGTTATAGTAGAATTGTTATTTATGTTAGTTTACATATTTAGTGAATCCTAGTTCATGTAGGGATCCTCACATATATAAACATCCATGTACACAATTATTCATTAAGAGTGAATTCATAAATTAACATGGTATCAGAGCACGGAGATCCGTCTCTACCTTCTCCTTCCCTGCGTTAACCACGAAAAAAAAACAAACAAGGAAGATTTCTTTTTCCTTGTTCGGCTCTGCCGATCTGCCTTCCCTGCGCAACAGCGCCAGCCGTGAACAACCATGGCTGCTTTATCCCCTGATCCTATGGATCGCCTGCCTACGGGTCTAAAGTTGTTTGTCCGGAATCTTCAATCTCTAACTCCGGTCAAGCTTGATGACACAAATTATCCCTCTTGGTCTGCCACCGTTCGTGCAAATCTTCTTGCCCATCGCTTACTCGGTTATGTTGATGGATCTGAAACCTCTCCACCGGCTCTTATTCTTGATGAGAAGGCTGCTGCGCCGGGCAAGGATGCACCCCCGGTTATGAAATCCAATCCAGCCTATGAATCATGGCTTATCGTCGACGCTTAGATTCGGGCCTGTCTCCTTGCAATTGTTTCACCCACGGTTCAGACTCATATTCATGCTCTTCCCACATCTACTGCAATCTGGAATCATCTTGAACAACGGTACAATTCTCTTTCACGCACTCATATTTTTCAACTGAAGGAGCGCCTGCACGGTGTCACTAAGGGT